TGACAGACTAGAGGAAAGGCAGCTAGTCAACAACACCAACCGCAAACTCATGAGCTACTCTTTACCAACGAAAAGTTGGATTGACCTTTACGTTATAGCGCCTCCACGGCTGAAAGGACGAGCATGTTCGGTGACGGGGAATCGAAACCACGACTCTCAGATTGCGAGTCGAGCGCTCTAACCACCAAGTCATACCAAGTTTCCTCTATCACAGATAACACCTTTTTCTAACACATTCACATCCATTCTCTGTAACTTAAATGTTGTTTTTTTTCTTTTATCGAAGTTTTCGTTTTCAGCGGTTAGTGTTCAAACCCAAATGGGAAAATATCATTTTGAAAACTGAAATCCGTTCGCGTGAGAGTGGAACTTTTCCAGAAAATTAATTACATTTAATCTTATAACTGCATAAGCACTGAGTTAAATATATGATTTTTTATGTTATTATGTATGTGACTCATTGCTAGAAAACCCATCAAAGTTTAATGACTTCTAGGTTTTCTAGATATTACTCATAAGCTATGCGGAAATAATGTTTGTTTGTTTGTAGTTAAACACAAAGCTACACAATGGGCTATATGTGCTCTGCTCACCACGGGTATCAAAACCCGGTTTTTAGCGTCGTAAGTCCACAGACATACACTGGACGGCTGGAAATATCAAGAAATGATGATCAAATATATGCTTCGATTTCTCAGAGAATAATTCTAAAATAAGTGTTGTACAATTGTATAAGCGGTACTCATATGCATCCATTAATGTTTATTCGATAGTATGAAACATTATATAGTTAGCATGAGAAAATAACGTAACCGTAATGTGAAAAGTGAATAACTTGAAATGCATCTTTACTGTGTACAGTCTTAGCCTTCACAATACACATGTTTTTAGTTTATTGCGCCAAATTAATCAGGCGAAGTTGTTATTAATTTGTAAGTTACACCCCATCATAGCAGGCCGAATAAATAATCAATCAATTAACAAGACTAAATTACTTTTAAATAACACATTCAGTATATATATCTGAAGATAAATTTCCACCTCCAGTATAACTAATAAAATATGGGATATTGTAAAGATTAAAATCTTGGGGGTAATTGCTTCCTTGAGGTTATTTTGAAACTTAGAGAGCCGAGCGTGGCCTATCTAGTGTACACGGGCTGTGAATTCAAGGATTCGGGTTTGCATTCCGCTGCCGCAAAACACGCTTTGTACTTTGGGCCGTTAGTATACTCAACTCCAACTATTCTGTTAAACAAGAGCAAGCAGCATAAGAGTTGGTGGTGTGTACTGTCGACTAGCAGTCATGCCTCTAGTCTATCAATTGAAAATTAGGGATAGCTTTGCGTGTAGTTTTAGGCAAAACTATCTAAAACTAACAAACAAAAGGAAACATTACATCATTACAATACACACAAAATTCCACGGTATCCGCTTGGAATGCAGGGGATTTTTAATCAAACCTTTTCGTTGATATTTATATATATATTGGTCGAAAGGCGTTTCAGCATGGACATTAGCTAGCGTACCGGGCCTTATTTCTACGGGTCCATCGTTCGCATCCTTTATGCAAAGAAAAAAAAAGATATTAATAAAAGCTCATACTCAGGACTTTTGAAACATGGGCCCATTCTAAAGGTGATGGTCAAATCCCACTAATGCTTATGGTTACATGATTTTATTGGTCACACGTTCACGGATAACATAAGTCACAAAACAATTAATAAAAATATTATCAATACTATAATTAATTCCAATAATTACTGATGGGGTCCTTATGAATTATGAATAGACAGTGAGGGAGTGCCAAATAATTTAGGGTGGGTGCTATTGATTAGTTGTCTTCCCTCAAGTTTTATAAGTTCAAAATTAGGGACGGCTATCGTATATAGTTCTTGGGTAGTTTTACACAATCATCCGGACACAAACAAATAAACACGCGGTATTATTGAAACACCATAATCGTATGAGGAGTGAAAATCGTGGCAATTCACTCAGTCGAAAATTATTAACTGCAGTTACGTGACTCTCAAGATACCATCGTTGTTATCCGTTGTATAATTTGTATTTTCTTTGGCAGATTGATTCACGCTAAAATAAAACTTCACATGGTATGAAATGCCACCTACATCTTCATAGGTTTGTCATTTTCTGAACTCTTTACTTATCGTGACATAGCATTTCCGAGTCTCGTTCGGAAGAGGGCGTGGCAGAGCTATGGAAATCAAATCAAGATGAATGCTCGATAAAAGGTAGTAGAAAAATTATATGGTTGTTGGATATGTTTACAGTAGCAGACATTCTAAATTGTTTTCCAAGAGTTGCCGTGCGTATGTGCATGTAATGTTGTTTGTATGTAGAATAAAACAGAAAGTAGGAACTTGGTTTCTGGACGGAAACGTCACGTGATCTCGGCACACATTCGCGATAGATTATACGAAGTCAACATGCAATGCATTATATGGTCAGATTATTTGTATAACTACAACACGTCACTTCATCCGGTCAATCGATTGACTACCCCATGGAGTAACACACAGATTAAAATGTATCACGCCATCTAGCTAGGACCACTTTGTTCATACTATTGAGCCTCCACGTTTATTTACTCCGCACACTTTAATAGAAGCGAAAAGTTTTGTTCCACGTTAACTTTCATTTATCCACCTCACTGAAAGCAACATGATTAACTAAGTTTGACATCAGTTTATGCGAAAACAAACCGTTAGTTGTCGTGATGTAAACGGTAAACGCTATTCGTAACTGAATACGTGATACAAGAAAACATAATTCATTGCTAAGTGTTATGGTTTAAACGCCGAAATTTGGCGAAATATTAGAAAACCAACATGCCTGAAATTAAGAGTTGTCTTTATAACAAATTCATCGGTAAGTTCTTTCAGAAATAGTTAGCAAAAATATATATTATTCTTTCAAAAATCTGTGAGTCCTAAGTGAGACCTTTAGAACGCAGGCCATGACTAAATCGATTATGTTAACTTCTACATGATAATCTATCAAACCTTGTAACGCTATCACACAGTACACATTTCACGGCCTTTATTCGCATGTATAGTCTATTTTGAGGAGATTTATATTTTAACTTGCCAAATTCAAAATTTTAATATTTCTACTCCACAAAGTAAATCACATATCAAAATTCGTTTGCTAAGTGAGAAATTTAGTACGTTGCGAGTGTACGGGTTAGGTTGATGCAACTAAAAATTATATGTGAGCCTATAGTTTTTTTTTGGGGGGGGGAACTATTGCAAGTTTTTTAGAATTTAATTTATACCAGTAAAGTTCGGGTATTTTCTTTTCCATTTGGTATGCAACATCTGGTAGTAAAGAACATTTACACTACAAAGAAGTACTATCTCAATAGTAATCTTACAACATCTGGTAGTAAAGAACATTGACACTACAAAGAAGTACTATCTCAATAGACTTGGTTAAAACTTTTTTATACCTTTTAACCACCACTTTAAATTCATAATAACAAATAAAAAGAAGAAAGAAATGAACAACCTTAACTCACTTTTACCTTAGACGTATATCACTTTTTATCTAGCCTTTAACAGCATTAAAATTTAACCCTGTTACTCATTTAGGTTACTCAAAAACAATGGCAACAAGGGTACATGACGTAACAACACAAAGAATGGAATGCAACAAAGATAACTTAATAGCTAAAGCAGGATTAAAACAATACTAGAAAGGCATGGGACTGGTTTCTAAGCATTCTTGTTAGGATTCCAGAGCCTATAGATTTTTACCTTCGTTTTTCAAGTAAAACACGTCTCACTAGTGAACACCTAAATATTTTGTTAATATTACCAAGTTCCAAATAATGGTCAAGTAGTGGTATTATGTTGTCGTTAGGGGTCAAACCCGCTGCCTAACACTTCTGTTACGAATAATAAAATAGTTTTTATATATTCTTATAATTTTTATACTATACTGATGAATAGATAACCAATAATTTTGTTTGTTTTGAAGAACTTGCACAGCGATACACATGGCTTGTTCGTATGTCTGTTCAGTGGTTTGATAACATTAAACAAACGCAATCTTCTGAAAAGAATTGTACGTGCACACAATTTTGTGGGCGCGCACAAACACACATATTCAGGATACTAATTATAAAGTAGGTCATGGATCTATTTCTTTTTCGTGGTTAAACTATCGTTCTGACTAATGTTGTGTAATCATTTACACAAAAGTTAGAAATGAATGTGATTAACTTTAGTTCTTAGTATATTTTTGAAATAAAAACTGAAGATTTAAAGAAAAATTAGGGTTATGTGAAAGGTTTTTGTGTGTTGCGCATAGAAATAGAAATGATTTATTATTTTATAATTTTTAAACTTTATTTTCTGTCATTTACAAACGATAAGTGGACACAATACCATCTCTCAGTTAGGTTCTTTTTTTTTTTCTTCTGCTCTTTCGAATGAAAAAATCAAATGCCCTAAGATCATATAACGATAAAATAAATAAACATGGAAGTAGCAAAAACAAAGTAACATTTTAATGTATTTTTCAAAATAAAAAAACAAAATCCCAATGGCAGTGATGTTTCCCTATATACATCAATGACTAACTTCAGACTTCTAGTTAATCTTTGCCTTACAAAGTTTAGCCTTGAACCATATGGTTAACAAATTGAAGCTTTTCTAAACTTAAACATTAAATATAATGTTTAAATTTGTTTTTTTAATTTCTTTATTTTCCAACAATTATTCGTTTCAAAAACCTTTTAATTTTACAACATGTAATACTCCAGTTTTGTTATTTCATATGTATTTATATATATATATATTGCGTTATTAAAATATTCACGTGCTTTTTAAATAAAAAAAGAATATTTCTAGCAAGATATGTGATTGATCTCTATTGTATCATAGAAAGATGCATAACATTTTAAATAAAAAAGAAATTCCAACTCTCGAAATTAAGTACATATTGAAATGTTAATACAATTAGTGTGTGGTATATATCTAAATTTTTTTGAAAGGAAGGAAAATCACCGATTCTGTTCTTCTTAGACATTCTGTTACTTCTCCCAGCTCGATCAATGACACCTAGATAAAAAAAAAATACCATTGTATAATATGACACATACAAGAAATCTGAGCGTATATATATATATATACCTAAATATTTGTTGTTACGTATAATTTATGTAACATCTTAAAACAAAGTAGTCTACTCTCAATGATTTTGTCTCCGAGATGAACATGATCAAGTGTTCAAAGCCGAAAAATGCTAGACATTAGTTTTATTTCAACAGAATATATTCTTATATCCTAAAATTTACATGAAATTCCTAAACAGGTACAGCCAATTCAATTATTTTTAGAAGTAGATGTTCAAAGTGATTATGTGACATTTTCAACGGGAATGTAGATACACAAATCACTAAGAAACATATGATAACATGTCATCTATATGTTTCCATAGCTTTACAGCTGTAAATCTCTGTAATCCTATTGTTACAACCTTCTATAAATTAAATTTTCTCTAAATTATGTTGCTTTTTGCTTGAAAACGTATTTTAGTATGTTTATATATATATATGTATATATTAAATATAATTTACTATTCAAACCAAATAATTTTTTCTTGGATGTTTGATGGAAGTCTCGAAAAATAATACATTTTTATGTCGTATAAATTCTGACAATTTCAAACTCTGAACATGCAGGGAAAGCTAGCTGAAGTACTGACAGACAGCCATCGTGAGTTTACTTGTTACGAATTACCATCAGATCATACTTTTTTATGTGTTTGTTCTATGACAAGCATTTTTATATTTTATAATGTTTCGGGCGTTTAGCAATGTGGTTTTCTGTACAATGCGAAACGTTTTTTAGCACCCTCACACGAATTTGGGTGTGATATATTGTGGATAACAATAGTTTATTCTACCTAGCGTGAGACGATGTCAGTTTTGAAGTCTACATAAGTTTACCCCCCCCCCCCGGAACTGATAGAATAATTCTAAACCAAAACAAAGAAAAGTGAGCAAAGAAAATTAATGTTGAAAATGCTATAACTTTTAAAGAAACTTTCATTTAAGGATCAGTTAGGCGCATCTATGCCACTGGAAATTTAATTTTCTGGGGGTGGGTTGAGAGATTTCAATGGAGGGTTAAGCCCATGGGTGCTCTTTGATTTTCTAAAATAAAAATTCAATAACATGTGGCCCGGTGTTAGTTTGTACTATAGCGTTGCAACATGCATAGTGCTAGCGTAAAACTGTGTTTTGTTGTCAGGTTATTGTAATCTTCTTGTAGGGCATGTAACTAACCCCTCACACACATACACAACTGGCGCCCCTGTCTAAGCCAATAAGGAACATGTGATTCATTACCTCTATAGTTTTTATGTATACTGGACCAAAATGTTCTACATAATTATGGGGATTCAACAGCATTTATAATTTTTTATATACAGGTATAAAATATTTTATATAGTTTTGGGAATTCAACAGCACTTTAGTTTTCTCTATACTGAACCACAATGTTTCACACATTTATGGAGGATCAACAGTACTTTAGTTTTCTTTATACTGGACCATAATATTTCACACAGGTATGGAGAATCAACAGTACTTTAGTTTTCTCTATACTGAACCACAATGTTTCACACATTTATGGAGGATCAACAGTACTTTAGTTTTCTTTATACTGGACCATAATATTTCACACAGTTATGGAGAATCAACAGTACTTTAGTTTTCTCTATACTGAACCACAATGTTTCACACATTTATGGAGGATCAATAGTACTTTAGTTTTCTTTATACTGTACCATAATATTTCACACATTTATGGAGGATCAGTAGTACTTTAGTTTTCTTTATGCTGTACCATAATATTTCACATAGTTATGGAGAACCAACAGTACTTTAGTTTTCTTTATACTGGACCATAATATTTCACACAGTTATGGAGAATCAACAGTACTTTAGTTTTCTCTATACTGAACCACAATGTTTCACACATTTATGGAGGATCAATAGTACTTTAGTCTTCTCTATAGCGGACCAAAAGGATCTACATAGGTAAAGGGAATCCCGAATATCCACATCAGTGACGCATACAATTAATATGACGATGTTACCGTGTCTCGTAAAAACATATCATCCTTGATATCCACCATGTGGCACACAGAACTTGTATAATGGGGTAACAATGTCTTGTAAAAACATATAATTCCTGGCATCCGCCACAGTGACACACAGAACATGTATAAAGGTGTAACGGTGTCTTGTAAAAACACACAATTCCTGACGTCCGCCACAGTGACAAAAAACATGATATATAACAACGAAACAGTCACCTATAAAAACATAGTACTTGACATTCACAGCACTAACACACAAATATTGTCACCTATAAAAACATAATACTTTGACATTCACAGCGCTAACACACAAATATTGTCACCTATAAAAACATAATACTTGACATTCACAGCACTAACTCACAAATATTGTCATCTGTAAAAACACAACGCTCACTGACATTCAGAAGTTGATATACAACAACGAAAATATTTTCTAAAAACATAGCACTTGATACTCAACGCACTGATACACAGAAGATGTTTCATAACAATGAAAGAGTCATTTGCTAAAACTGAACACCTGACATTGAACGCATTAACATACAGAACTTAATGTATATTATAATGAAAGGATATTCTGTTAAAACACAACACTAAAAAGTTAACCCATTTGAACACAGAACTTCGTGTAT